TTTTCCGACAGGTATGATAATGTTTAAATATTCTCATATTTCCCTTGAAATACTTTTATTAAAACTCATTTATAGTTTTATTTACTTAATCTACCATTTGCCATCTGCATTGCATTGTTTTTCAGCTGCCATTTAACAGCTTTCAATTAGAGATAGCCCACTTTAGTGTCCAATTTCCATGACTGATTTCCCCCGGATTTTCCAAGGGCTTCTTTGATCGGCCCACACACGAGCAACAGACGGCCCTCGATAAGTGCACTCTGCCATGTCAATCATCTGCTGACCAAGTCACGCCTTCTTCCGCTGTCCGCCGTCCACTGTCCATATATGCTGCGATCGTGTAAATATATTTATAGGGAAAATCGGCGGCAGCTGCCGATGTCTGCCTGTCAGTTCGATGGACAACAAATTTCACACTCTTTCACGAACCGTAGGAGGGTTTTCCTTTCGTCTTTGATTTGGCACCGCCTTCGTCTCTTTTCTCTTTTACTTGCTATGTATGTATATTTTTTTCTGATTTTATTTTGTATTCGTTATGATTTCTAGAAATTCACATTAACTGCAATTCACTTTTTTTAGCGTTTGTCGTTTTTTTTTCTCTACATGTTACAAGGGTATTATTATATGCTCTATGACTTGTGAAATTGTCGGTGTCATTGCCGGCAAACGAGGCACGAGTCGAACTTTGGTGCAACAGAAGAGTAGAAAATGCCATCGAAAGTTTTGCTGCTTTTTGAAAGTGATCGAATTGTATAACAAGTGTAACAACCTTGTTTCGTTGTTGGAGGAGAAAAGGTCATACAGAAAACTTATGGCTAACTAACCGGCTAAACGCTTCTTGGGCTAAGTGAATTTAATGGTAGATATCGTGAACTAGTTTTCAATAATTACCTGATATAGTCTTTTTCTTTGTCTCAATTGGTTATAATTTATTTTGCTTATTTTATTCAATTTATTTTAGGTAAATTGTTTTATTAAATTGTTGAGAGCTTGGTTCTGAAAATTACTTGCGAGTTCATGCAAATTGAATATAGTTAAATATATTACACACTTGACAACTTTATTTATATTTATCAAGTAGTTAAAGTCAAACCAGAACGAGGTCAATCTTTTTACGTTATAAAATAATAAACCATTCTATCTCTAGCCTCAAAAACTCTATTATTTAATTGGTTTATAGCTGCCAGTTTCTATATATTACTACTATTTTCCCACATTCCTTTACCTCTTAAATCTTATTGACCATTTACCTTAAGGCGATTATTTTATTGATCATGTTAAAGTCGGCATACCCTATAGTCTCTGCTCATCACAAAACTGCAGTTAAATTTCCTGATGATGCTTCTTAGTGCCGATGTGCATATGGCAAAGGCTATAATTAATTATTATGAGTGGTGGTCTTACCAAAGCTTTGGCTCATGCCAAGCCTCTGGGCCTCCGTGCCTCCTACTGCCTCCTCCTCTGCCAGCCCCACTAATTAGCCGAGTTGGAAGCGTGAAAAAGAGTCGTATGCGGTTGCTATGCTGTGGTTGCATCACCCAAAGTAAAAGGGGGAAAATACTACTAGGAATTCGCAACTCATGCGAAGAAGATCGCGGAGCCGGAATCAGACATGACCTAGCCATTGTAGAACTGGCTAACTAACTAACTAACTAACGGTGCCTTGCCCTCTATAATTAAGCACAATCGGCGTGTCTATATACACACACAAATCAAACGAACGAACGAACGAACGAAATACATTTTGGTCTTTAGCCCCGTTTGCAGTTCTAAGTTGATTGTGTTTCGAGAAGAAAGCGTGTAAAACCTGGCAGCAGCGAAAGTTTTTGTTATCTTCCCCCTTCGGAAAAAAGACTCTTGTATTATTATTTGTATGCAAATTAGCGAAGACGAAGAGCGAATCCCAATTCTTTTGTTGGCAATGTAACAATTATGCTTTCATCTTTCGATTGTTGCCAAAAAAGGCAGAAACAAATGCGGGCCAAAAAGACACAAATCTATTTAACAATGTGTTAATTACACGCGGCGGTCACAGTTCTAACACCAAAACCAAACTAAACCAAACCAAGGCATTCTCTCTGCCAGATCCGCCGCATCTCCCTCTGCGGTAACCGTAAACAAATCTGCGCTTAATCGTTAATTTATGATATTTCTAGCGGTAACCGACAGCCGGCAATCAAGACCCAGCCCGAGCTTGACGCTCCGCTGATCAAGCGTCATCATCACCATCCTCGGGGTATTCTCCTCCCCAACTGACCATGGGTAGATCATAAAGTTCTTCTTCTCTCTCCCTGTCTCTTCTCTGATGAGCGCCGTTGTCTTGTGCAGCTTCGATTCGATTTTATGACCTTTCGATGCCCATTAACATGCTGGATGGCTGAGCATTGAATGGTAATTAATGATCACTTTTCACTCAGTGGTTTTCAATTCGTTTTGTTTACTGTCCGGAAGATTTCCACAGGGCCCGACACACTGCAGGTGCTGTGAGATAGTGAACGTGTCTGTGTGTGTGGGGAAATATTTATTAATTAACCAAGTCAGCTCTGCGGAAGCTGCTCGTAAATTCTTTTGTTTGGACAAGCAAATCCTGTGTGTGTAGCACTTGGGATTAACGATCATCTGATTTCATGAAGCTTAGCTGCAATCTTTGAGAAGCGCAGAGAGAGAGGCGCTGTGACAGAGATTATGGAATCATAGGATTTGGTTAAATCAAAATCAACAACCATGGGAAACGTTGTTAGCGGCGCTCACCTTTGGGGATTGGCAATAAGAGAGGCTATTCCTGTCTTAACTTTCCCCGGGCTTAACTTTCTGGGGAGACTGGGGACCCAAGCCTAATCCAACTCATTCTTAAATTCCTGCAAACATTCCCAGTGAGCCAACCCATAATCGTATCCCATTCACAGTCTTTACTTAAAACGGCATCAAACGATGCTAACCGCACAAAAGCAGTTCGATTAATCTGCCAATCGATTGAGCCAGCAAGCAAACAATTAAAGTCTTCATTAGACTGGTCGGGGTCTCAATCTCTTGGTCTCTCTCTCTCTCTCTTGCAGTCTTGGCAACCCATTTAGGTGCGGATATGTGACTGCAATTTTAATTAGGCACACGACCGCCATAGAACCAGTGACTCAACCACCCATGGCCAAGTGAAACATTTTCATTTAGTTTAATTCTCTTCTCTTCTCATTTCAGGTAAGTCCAGGCTACTTAGAATCTAGCCACTCGAACTCAACCTGTTTCTTCTGCTTTCTGTGTGCCGGGTAAGTGAGTTGCTCAACCTGTCGATGGCTGGGAGTTGAGAAACTGAAGAGCTAAAAGCTGAGGCGCTGAGGAGCTGGGAGCTAAGAGCTAGGAGCTAGGAAGCTGGGCTATGTATGTCGCCTTGCATCGATAGCACCGATCGCACTATGGCCATAAATTATGTCGTTGTTTGCGCAGAGTCTCGGAAAAGCGACTCAAACGCGAAGTCATTCCGGCCTCCACTACCAATCATCATTGTTAGGTGCACATCAAAATTTATAGGTCAGTAGTGGCAACAAATTGCCAGGCATTCCGATGCCTGCGCGTTTGGCTGCCCAAATCATTGCCGATCCTCCGGCCAGATGCCCTCCATCTTCATCGCTGTCTCTAGCTGGCTGCAGTTCTTCGTCTGTCTTGACTGTATCTAATAAGGCTTGACCAGTTCCCTTGTCCATGTCATCAAAAAAAATACAGCGGAAAGAAACAAAAACAAAAACAAAACCAAAAAACAAAAACAGAACGAGCCCAAACTGAAACTGACCCACTCAACAATTGTATTGAAAGTTTCGGTTCGGTTTTCCTGCCCGAGCCCTCCCTTTATCCCCGTTTACATCCTCCAGCTTATGACAATCGATTTGCAATGGAAAGCCATATGCCTGGAGGCGCTCCATTTATAACAAGTGGCCAGCTTTGGCCAACTATCCAAGTTAGCAAGCCCAGCAAAGCTACATAAAGCACTGAGAGAAATGTGAAATTGGGGGAGTTTTGATAAACATTTTTAAGGATTATAAAGCCCTAACAAGATTTTTTTGTTTAATTTATACAAATATTTAAGAACTTTAGAAATTTCTTAAAAATATAAACTTTCTTCAGATGATTTTTGAATGTATTTATTGTATTTAATGCACATACTTCTTGATGTATAACCATAGGTTTTTTTAAATCTCTGAGAAGGGCATGTGCCCTTAAGCTTTAAGGTATTACCTTAACTTTTTGAGAAGCGCAGAGAGAGGCTTAAATTCTTTTTAACTATGCATATTAAAAGATCTATATTTTTAAATAGAAAGTCCTGTATATGTTTGAAATCAGTTCTTGGTGTTCTTTAAGGGCAAACCATTCACGTCTCAACTTTTTTTTTATTTCCTATTTCATAATTCAAAAATATAATTTTTTCTCCGTGTAGTTCTAAACTTTTTGTTGCTCTTATAGTGCCTTCAATGCCCTGGTGTTGTTGCCGTTGTTGTTGTTGTCATTGTCGTTGTCATCGCTTGTTGCTTTGTTGTTATAGTTTGAGAGTCAAGTTGTTCCAATAATTCTGCATTTGACATTCAACGGGGTTTTACTTGGGTTCTTCTGGTTTTTGTTAGCTTTGCCCGAAACGGTTTCCGTTTTTCTATTTTTTTTTTTTTGTGTGTCCAGAGATGTCTCTGTCCCATGGTCTTGGCCCATTGTCTTGGGAAATATGTATCTGGCTTGACAGGCGCTCTAGCCGCCTTTCCCCTTTCTACAATTCCCCTTTGAACTGTGATACTTTTTGGTGGTCGCTCATTGCTAATTAAGTTTAAAGAATGGACAATATTTTGACTTCCTTAGAGAGAGATAGAAAGGAGTTGGGAGATGGGTTTAGAAACATATGTTTGCTGCCTGCGGGAATACATCCTGCTGCGCAAAGCTTGGGAAAATCCTGATTATGTTATAACAACTTTTTTTTTATATAAATCCCCTTAAAAATGTAAAAATAATTTATCATTTCTTACCTTATTATCCTTGTTGCCCGCTCCCAGTTTCTGCTGGTAGTACTCCTCGCGAGCGTGCGTATTGAGGCTGTCGATCAGGGCCGAGGCATTCACATGTCCATCATAAACCATGGTATCCTGCTGGCTGCTGTATGTGGCTGCAGTGCCTCCTGTGGATCCTGCTGCTGCGGCTGCTGCTGCTGAGGAAGATGCTGCTGCTGCGGCGGCCAGAGGAATATTGGCCTGAGGCGTGCGAGTGTACAACTGTTCGATGGGCAAGGCAGGAGCTGCCGAGTTGGTGGTGATTGAAGGCAGCGATGATGACGAGGCTGAAGATGGAGAGGATGCAGTGCCTCCACCCATCGAGGGCGTGACCTTTTGCAAGGGCTTAGATTGCTGCTGCTTCTGCTGGAAACTGTTGGTGGTGGAGATCTTCTGCTTCAGGCTGCCGGTGGATGAGGTGGTGGCACTGCTGCTGGGTTTCGAGGCCGCAGCCGCATTGGCAGCAGCTGCACTAACGCTGCTTGGTCGCTGACCGCCTCTCTTGAGGGCGGCGGTGACCTTGTGGGCAAAGGGGCGCTTGGTGGCCCGGTTCTTCAGCTTTCCCATGGTGGTCAGAGTCCTCTGTTGACTGCCCGAGTTGGCGGTAGTTGTAGTGCTACCATCCGCATCATCGGCTGCCGTTATGGCCGCAATATTATTGTTCGATCTGGCGGCCACAAACTGATCGTCGGGATCGGTGGATTCCGTGAGGGAATTATCGCTGGTGGTCTGCTGCTCGGATTGGGTGGTGAGGTTGGGTGAAGTCGTTTCACCCTCCTCATCGGTGGCCTCTGATTCCGTTTCCGCTTCCGCTTCTGTTTCCTGCTGACTCACATCCGTGGTGGTGGGCAGCTCCTTCATGATGGTGCTCATCGCCGCCTGTTCGTTCATTGTGTTTTGCAGCTCAAGGAGCGTGGTCTCATCCAGGACTAGAGTGGGATCCGTCTCAGCCTCGACGGTGGCTCCAGTCGGTGTCTGTGTGCTCTGCTCAAAGCGTTCCCTGTCCTGCTCTGTTTCCGCTTCCGTTTCCGCCTCCTGTGGCTGCTGCTGCGTGGTGCTCGAAATACTGCTCCTGGAGGCAGTGGTCGCCTCTTGGCGATTGAACTGTTGCTCCTCAATGTCCAGCGACTCCTTTAGCCTAGCCACTCGTTCCACAATCCTGGCCAGCATATCCTTCTGTTGCTCTGGCAGATTTTTCGTATCGAGCTCTAACAGGCGATCATATTTCCTTATATTCCTCTTCACCGTCTCTATGTCCGCACGGGTCTTGGCCGAGGTTAGGCTGGGACTGGGATTGGGGTTGGAGGAGCGCGGTGTCTCCTGGAAATAGGTGCGTGCCCGGCGATTGCTATAACCCACCAGCTCGATCACGCCCGGATAATCCGCCGAGGAGGCGGATACCGCCATAACCAATGCAATCAGGGCCAATTGGCAGCTCCAGGCTGCACTAAACCGCACCATTGCAGTTTCAGTTTCTTGGATTTTTCTTTTAAATTGATTTTTCTTTTCCTTATCTTTTGCAGTTGTTGTTTTATTTTTCGTATTTCTTTTTTGCACTCGCGATTCACGTTCGGTTTTTCTTGTATTTCTCGTATTTCACCCGCTCGTATTAGTGTCAACTAACAGTAACTCCAGTAACAATCTTTCGGCACAGACACACACGCGAGAGGAGTCCCAGAGTCAGGAATCAGTATCAGTCTCGGTCTCGGTCTTGGTCTGAGTCTCTGTCTATCGGTGCGGTGTCTGGGATCCACAGAGGGAGGGAGATATAAAGCTTCTGGTGGTGGCCACGATCCGCTGACTTCTAACGTCGGATTACAAATGTTCCAGGCCGCTGGCTGGCAGCGTCTTTTAAAAATTTCCAAGCGGAAAACGCGGCGCTTCGCGCACTTTTCTCCCAACTGGAGCTGAGGCTTCAGCTTTTGGCTTCTTTCACCGCCAAGTTCATGGCCGAGACCGGTTTGAAGCCAACATGTTGTTGCAACCGAAGAGTGGCCAGCGGAGAATCCCAGAGAATCTCCGCGACAACCAGAGAATCTCAAAAGAGAGCTTGCGAGAGTGTTCAAGCTGAGCGCTTTCTCTCGATGTTGCCAAGTTTGGTAGCAAATGTTGCCAGGGCCTGGTTTGCAATTGACAAATGAAGAGTGCTAATTGCAACATGTTGCTGGGCGAAGCCATTAGGCCAGGCACACGCCTTCCTTTTGGCATTATCTGGCGGATACCCGTGCTGGGTATCTGCGAGATATCCGAGCCCAGGCCCCCCCATTCAATTAGTCATTCCAAACACAGAAGATACTCCGGCCTGGTTCTAGCCGCTTTCGCTTCAATGTCAACTCGGCTCGTTTAGCCTGTCATCGATTTGGACTGGTACTCGTCGTCGTCGTCGGAGCCGTTCTCTCTAGCACCTAACACCTCTTGGCCGAAACCAGCTGAAATATTCAACGTTTCTCTTCGGGCTCAATTTAGCTAAATGGCCTCGCATTAAACATAATTTGTCGCGGCCTTCTTAATTGCAGTTCGGGAAATACTCCACATCGAACACACTACTCCACTCCACTCTCTCTCTCTAGGTCTCTCCATGATATCACTTCTCGAGACCTTTCTCCCTCTGGGTGATCTGTAGCCCCGTTCGTGTCCAGAACAACTAATGAACCCCAGGCGACGGGCTCATCCATTTCCATTTCAAAATGTTCTCATATTTACACACTGAAATGGGGTATTTAAGCTAGTCAAGGGATTATTTTATTTTAAAGAAAAAAAACATAATCGTTTGTTAGGTTTATTTCTGTTTATTTCTAAAGCTAAGAAAGTGTTAAATTCATTACGTAATCTTAAGTATTTTGTTTACTTTATTACTGTATTAAAAAGTGATATCTTAAATAGATATACCATAAATATTTCCCCCCATGCCCATAGAGTATTAAATATGTCATTAGAAATTTTTTCACCTAGTTCCTTTCATTTTTCTAGTCAACTATTTGGCTGCAAACAATTTCCCTACCGCCTGGGAACTGCAATAAAACAATAAGAAATGAACTAATAAGAAATTGTTGCCAAGAAAACCGAAGCTCAAGTTTAGCGGAGAGACTGCTGCTGTTGCTGTGGAGCTTCTCATTTTTCACGTAGCCGCACAATAAAAGAAACCGAGCGTTAATTAAAAAAATAGCCATAGATCAATGCACCTGATAGTTGCGGGAAATGTTTGTTCTACTGCTGGGTTGCAAGTTGCTTGTTGCAAGTTGCTAGTTGCTGGTTGCCAACTGGCTCTACTGTGTGTTCGTTGCCAGCGGCAAATGTGGTGTAATTTGTGAGAAAGAGGCTGGTCTCCTTAGCCCTTTTTAGAGCCACCTAATGGAGAGAGCCCAGAGCCATCTCAGAACCCAAAAACAACAAAAAATATAAAAGAAAATAAAAAAGAACCCAAAGGAGAAAAAGGAAAAGGCAGAGTAATGGGGTAATGGTAGTTGACAAGGCTGCAGGCGCTTCCTTCATTAGCATGGAATGGGTGGAAAACTGGACAATATGGCTCCGACTCTGACACACATAAGGCGTTTATAATCATTATGGGATAAACGCCGGAGTTGTTAACTCCTCCTAGGAGATGTTGCTTGCTCCAGTCGGGTGAGTGGGTGCTGCTGTTGCGTGGTTGCAGCTCGCAACTTGCAACTTTCTTCGGCTCTTATCTTTTGTGCATATGCAGAGGACACAGCAGCAGCAGCAGAAGCAGCAGCATCAACGCAATGGCGGCGTCTGCATTCTTTGTTGGCTATAAAATATGCGACCGACGATCATCTAAGCAACATACAACACAACAGCAAGAGCAACAGCAGCAACATCAGCAGCAACAGCAACTGCTGCAGCATCTCAGCAACTCTTGAACTTTACTGAGCTATGAAAATGCTTTTGCCCTTTTTCTATGCTGTCTTCTTCTTATTTTACTGCAGGCTGCAACTGTTTAGCATGAGCTGCACTGAAAGAAATTACTAAACTACTAAAAATTATAATAAAATTAATACGTTTTTTATACATTTACTTTTAAGTCGATTTTTGGGCATTTGTTATCTCTACAGTGTCGGTCAGTCTGTTCGTCAGTTAGTTTGTTTTTCAGTCTGTCCGTCAATTTATTCTTTAGTCTGTCCGTCAGTTTGTCCGTCAATTTGTCCGTTATATGTTGTTAAGCAATTAAATATTTTTTGTCAATTGGATATTGACTTTACCGTTTTTAATATAATTTTGTTACTAAAAAATATGAAACTTTTAAAAAAATATTAAACATAAATATAATCATGTTTTTAAGAACTTGACATTTTTTATTTCTCTGTAGCTTAAATGAGTGAAAGAGAGAGGAAGACGCAGCACGATGTGGCTGCTTCTGCTGCTGCTGCTGCTCAAGTGCCAATAGCAATCTTCTTTTTTTTTTTCTTAGCCGCTTTTCCTCCTGCCGTTGTTTTTGTTGTTGTTTATTTCCCCCTGGCTTGATCTTTTGGTCTTTGGCGGTAATTTTTCTGTGCAACTTTTTCCTTTTGGCCAAGACTTTATTGGCTTTCGGTTGCCTTCGCTTCGGTTTTCCTTCTCCTCTCTCTATTTCGGTGCCATTTTAGCGCTGCTCCTTTTTTATCTGCCAAAGTTTTGTCTTCATTTTTATTTTAATAGCGATCTTGATACTGCTTTTTCGTACTATACTCCTCCACGCGGTAGTTGGTACTCGCGTTCGGTCCTGGGTACTCTGTGGCTGGGCTCGTCCCCGGTATCTTCTCTTTATCACATAATGATTTCAAATGGTGCGAAATTAATTTGAATTATTACTGTTATTAGCTGTTATTTGTGTAATGGTCGGTGCCTGATCGCCAACGAATCCAAAAAGTCACCGTGGCACAGATGGTACAGTTGCAGTTGCAGTTGCAGATACAGATGGAGATGTTGCAAGTGGCTGCCGTGCATTATGCAAGACGTGGGTAACGAATGCTCGCACAAATGCTCGCAAATTCAGTGATAAGCCATGAGAATGAACAATTTTAGCAGCAGGAGCAGCATCAGAAGGAGCAGCACCACGTATCAGTAGCAACAATTGCAGTGGAAGACACACAATGAAAAAAAAGTATGGAATAAGTTTAAGAAATATATTTTCTATAAGTTAAAAGTTAAATAGAAATTAATAAAAGAGCTTTTTGGTAAATAAACTTTTTGAGCGGTGCCCTTAAAATTCCCAAGTACAAATTCAGCGACACTCTCCTAGAAAACCAGACACGATTCGGAACGATTTTTTATTTAGATTAATCAATATATAAAATGTTAAGAGAATATAAATTAATTATATAGTTTCTTGGTTTAACTTTTAAAACGTTAAGCTTGGAATTAAATTTAAAAAAAATTACTTTATTTATAGTAAATTAAACAGAGCTCATTTAGTCGTAAAAATTGAATTCCTTATTTTATTTCCTGCAAGTTTCCATTAATTTCCCAACAAGTACTTAATTTAGACATTATAAATTACCCATTTAATGACCGATTTCATTGACATTTCTCCCTGTGGAGATGTTGTGTAGCATCAATTACAAATTCTCGTTGGCCGCTTAAATGACAGCATCTTTTGTTGTTCGGTTGGCTAGCTGGCTCTTGCTCTGGCCACATTTAAATTTATTAAAACTGCACCGGGCTAACTACTAACGGGCAGCAGCTCTTGGAATGTGCAACATGTTGCTGCAGAAGTTGCAGTTTAGTTTGTTGCAAGTTAGTTGCCCGCCCGGTCACTGACCAAGTTGATCTCTGGCATACCTGATGGCGCCTCTACCATTTGCAATTTGCCATTTTAGCATTTTGCATGCAATTTGATGCCATTTGTCATTTGCTTAATTGTGCCCAAGTTGCAAGCTGCACTTCCTGCCAGATCAACTCAACTCAGTTCTCTTCGGTTCAGGTGAGTTCTGCTCTGCTCTGCTCTGCTCTGTTCAGGTGAGCTGAGTTCTTACTGTTTCTAATTGCAGTCCGGCACGCAGCGTTGCCTGCAATCTGCCGACTCGAACCCATTTAGTTTCAATTAATCAAGTTGTCGCTGCACGCGTCTATTAGCTGTTTATGACAAGTGTGCAACAGGGAATCTGTCTATAGGAGAGGTTCTTGGGTTCCGTGCTTCCTCGGGGTGCTCATTAGCGGCGCCCCCGAAGTAGCCGCTGTAGCTGCTCCTGATTTCTGCAGCTGCCACGCTTTAAGAGCTATATATTATTAAATATATAAACTTGTGGCAGTTGCCGCTATTGCCTGCCGGCTGATTTCAGTTGCCACTCAGCGACTCAGGTCTTGAATGCCTTCTTTTAGTTCAATATTCATATAAGAATCGGGTGTATTCCGTTGTTCCCAACAAAATTATATAAATATTTAATAATTTCATTATTATGGTTAATATAATAATTATATATTACAACATGATGTTTATTCTTATGTTTATACCACAAAATTCAATTAATGCTACAATAAACACGAAAAAATTAATATACATCCCATTAGGCATCCATTAATTATGAGACTCTAGTTGCATGCCTGGTTACATTCGGAATTCTGGTTAGGTTTTGACTTTTAAAATATGGGTGAATTCATAAGCGGGTATCTTCGTAGTCGGAATAGCAGGCCAAACCATGTTTAGTTGTTCTTTTTTTTTTTGTACTTTTTCTTTTATTTTTTTTTTTCGGTTACTCGCCGTTTCGTAATGGGCAAGTTCTTTAATGTTCCACTTTGAGTTTATATCCAGGTACCGTTGCATATGTGAGGGAAATGGTTGAAGGCTTTATTTTCTTGTTGTTTTTGTTTCTGGTAAAAAGATTGCACCATTTTTTTTTTGTTTTTGCGCCCAGCTGTCACAGGTTCGTTGACTCGCAGGCTCGCAGT